ATTAGAGAGCTATTGCTTGAGAACAGAAGGTTGGACTAGATTGGCGTTGGACCTGATTCCATCTCCCTTCCTTCCTTTTCCCTCTATCCTATCCCTAATCCCTATCCCTCTGCTTCTTCCCCTTTCCCATTTTCTCCTCTTCGCTGACTTCAAAATTCCTGTCATCGTCCCCCCCCCAAAGTCCATTTCCCCATTCCAACGCATCTGCTGCTGCTTCTCCCCTAGCCTTGATTAATCGGCGGATGTTTTTGCATAAACTACTTTTGGCCACAGCTCAGAGCAATGCCAGGAGATGTTTGATCACCGCTGGTGCCACCGGCAAGAGGAGTCAGTGCTGGGCCACAGTGATTCATGGGCATTAGTGGAGCATGTAATTAAATGGGAACTGTCTCCCTTCCCTGCACTATTGATGGAGGAAGCCGCGGCTTTCACAACTCAACCCCTCCTTGATGTTTTCCATGCGGTGTGTCAGCACCAGACAAGGCCTGTCAAACATCACCTTGAAGCAAAGACGTGTGCAACGCGCTCATCAATCCAAACATCTAACACTTCAGGAAGCAAGCTTTCTCTCTCTTGTCCTCCCTCATGCTCACACATTAACTCCTTGCTGGATGTCAGCTAGGAGGCCTGGCGCCACAACAGAGTGTCAAGGGCGGGTTTGCACATTCTTGAACATCACTTGATTTTTTTCCACTCAATCACTCCACATGTCAGCCTGATTCGCACATGCAAGGGCATGATCTGCATTCTCTAAACTGAGTTACGCTCAAGACTGATCCATAAATACATATTTCGATCTCCTGCAAGTGTGTATGGACCACTGGAGAAATAACAGCCCAGGAAGAGTTTTCATGTAACCCTTTCCTCTTTACCTTGGTTTTGGTGGGGAAAGTTCACATATTCATTCACTAGTCTATCTACTGTCATGGCTGTTGAGCAATCAAGCACATGTGTGAATCAGGCTGATATGATCACTAGTGATTAGGGATGTAAGAGACTCGTTTTCCATTTTGCCCTGTATTCGTTTGTATGCAGCGCTGCTTCCATTCCATTGCAGTTTGTCTTCCAGCAAAACCTGCATCGTTCTTCTTGCCCAAAACTATGTTATTCATCTTGCTGTTGGCAGTGGTGAAGTGATGTAACTTATGCAATCTACTTAATTAATCACATAAATTATATTGTCGTTACGTTATTCCACCAATTCATTTCAATGCAAAGGAAACACAATCAATAACGTATAATTTGCAGACTAAAAGCAACAACAACAATGAATATTGATCTTATTCTCTGGATTGATTTTTATTCTGGGTGCGGGGCAAATAAGTGAGCGCTGTCAGTTTCTACTCCTGTTTCCATTTTCACAGGAATTACCTGACATCCCTCCCATTTATGGGTGGGAACCAAGTTGATCATAACACAACCTGGCTGAAGATGTGCAAGGTGATGGTGACTAATAATAATAATAATAATAATAATAATAATAATAATAATAATCATTTATTATTTCTACCCCACCCATCTGGCTGGGTCTCCCTAGTCACTCTGGGCGGTTTCCAACAAAAGATTAAAAATACATTAAAACGTCAGTTATTAAAAACTTCCCTAAGCAGGGTTGCCTTCAGATGTCTTCTACCTGTAAATGTCATATAGTTCTTTATTTCTTTGACATCTGATGGGAGGGCGTTCCATAGGGCAGGTGTCACTACTGAGGAGGCCCTCTGCCTGGCTCCCTGTAGCTTCACTTCTCGCAGTGAGGGAACCACCAGAAGGCCCTCGGAGCTGGACCTCAGTGTCTGGGTTGAACGATGGGGGTGAAGCCGCTCCTTCAGATATACAGGACCGAGGCTGTTTCTCTCCATGGTGCTCAGTCAATGATGGCACAAGGAGGCATTACTACTTGACAGGGGTGCCAACTTGAATAAAATATTGTGGGGACCCAGGTAAGCCCCTCCCCCACATAATCAACCACATGATGCAGTGCACACACACCATTTGAATGGGAATTCCTATCAATTTTGGGGAGGGCACCCCGGCCCCTTCAAATATATTACAGTGGTACCTCAGGTTACATACGCTTCAGGTTACATACACTTCAGGTTACAGACTCCGCTAACCCAGAAATAGTACCTCGGGTTAAGTACTTTGCTTCAGGACGAGAACAGAAATCGTGCAGTGGCAGCGTGGCGGCAGCAGGAGGCCCCATTAGCTAAAGTGGTGCTTCAGGTTAAGAACAGTTTCAGGTTAAGAATGGACCTCCGGAACGAATTAAGTACGTAACCAGAGATACCACTGTATTGTGGGGCTGAAGCCCCCACAGCCCCTGGGATTTGGCTCCTATGGTACTTGATGCTGTGATGCTGTGCCTGCACCTGAACCAGTCCCCTGATCTGTTTTATAGTAAAGAGACCAGTGAAGTACTTGTAGGTCTTACATCACTTTTCATTTCAGCAGGGTGACTGAAATAACTGCTTTCTTTATAACTGCTCTGTCATCACGATCGCTGATAACAATGATAGCATTATGTACCCGGCTCGGCAGGGTGTGTGGCTTTGAGTATTGGAGTGGATTCTTCTTCTCTCCTATCACTAGAACTTGTGGGCACCCAAAGAAGCTGAACGCTGGAAGATTCAGAACAGATGAAAGAAAGGACTTCTACACAGTGCAAACTATGGACCACAAGGGGCAGTAGCGACCACCAACTTAAAAAGGTAAAGGTAAAGGGACCCCTGACCATTAGGTCCAGTCGTGACCAACTGTGGGCTTGCGGCGTTCATCTCGCTTTATTGGCCGAGGGAGCCGGCATACAGCTTCCGGGTCATGTGGCCAGCATGACTAAGCCGCTTCTGGCGAACCAGAGCAGCGCACGGAAACGCCGTTTACCTTCCCGCCGGAGCAGTACCTATGTATCTACTTGCACTTTGACGTGCTTTCGAACTGCTAGGTTGGCAGCAGCAGGGACCGAGCAACGGGAGCTCACCCCGTCGTGGGGATTCGAACCGCCAACCTTCTGATCGGCAAGTCCTAGTCTCTATGGTTTAACCCACAGCACCACCCGAGTCCCTTTACCAACTTAGGTAACTTCAAAAGAGTATTGGACAAATAAGACTGTCAATGGTGACTAGCCATGATGGCTATATTCTGCCTCCATGGTTGGAAGCAGGAAATGCTCAGGTCCTGCTTGCAGATTTCCCACAGGCATTTGCATGGCCACTGTGACAACATGATGCTGGACTAGAAGGGTCATTGGCCTGATCCAGCAGGCTCTTGTGTAAGAACATAAGAATAATACAGTAGCTTTATCAACCTGCCTGAGAGTGACTTCAAAACTTTCCCTATCCCCATCCCTCATTGTACAGCAGACATGGGGAAGCCATGGTTCTCCAGATCATGCCAAGCTACAACTTCCATCATCCCTTAGCATTAGCCTTGATTGCTGGGGCTGATGGGAGCTGGAGTCCAGCAACACCTGGGGGAACATGGGTCTTCCATCTCTGCTCTGAAGGGATCTTGGCCACCATTTTCCTTCTCTCACACACATGCGCCTAATCCAGAGGAGGTTGATTTTCCACCTAAATTTCTCTTCCATGGAATCTGAGTCTGAAACCCAAGTTAGAGAATTACTGCTGTTGTTACTAGAATATCTGAAAGCCCCTGAATAGTTATGTGGTGCTGTGTTATGAATCAGAGGTCAAGATAGCCAGCAACTGAACACCGAGTGAATGTAGAAAATCAAAAATTTGCACAGGATGGGACATTTGGTGTTGACCTGGCATTGATCTTTGCAAACTAAAAAGACTGCAACCAGCCAGTTTTGTAGAGGATCATTCCCTGTGCTTCAGACCACTTCAGTTGTTAAAGCTTCTTCTGTGCAAGACGACAGTTCACAGATTCTGCCCTGCTGATGAACGTTCTCTGCACAAAGGTTCCCAGGTCTATTCTTCCCGTATTAAAAAACCCAGAGGCTCTCATGCCATTAGTGAACACACATGGATTCTAATGGATCAGCCTGAAATGGTGACAGTCCTTCCCATCCTTGCTTCCATGGATCAAGCTCTCAGCCAATCTGCACCAAAGTGTAGTTTGAAATCTGGTGGAATAAACTCACCTACTATTTCTGCTTCATTTAACTCAAGAGTTTCCCATTGACAAAATTCAGAGTTATGGGTACCCAGGTGGTTAGCTGTCCGGCATGAGGCTTGCCAGGTTCCCTGTAGTGATGTAGCAGCAAAGTCAATGGCAGGCAGAGGAGTCACTGATGTCACACAGAGGCTGTGAAAGCCTATTTACCAGCTCTTTGCTCCCTTGCAAGAGTAGCACAGTGTCACTGTGACATCAGAGCAGGTCAGCCAATGGCTGAAAAGGTGCCTCAGAGTTTATTAGGGGGTAGGTTTGGCAACCCATCAAACCCATCAGACTGATAAATGAGTTAGGTGGGCAGGGTTTAAATTAACAACAACAACAACAACATATTATTACTATTACAGTGGTACCTTGGGTTACATACGCTTCAGGTTACATACGCTTCAGGTTACATACGCTTCAGGTTACAGACTCCACTAACCCAGAAATAGTGCTTGAGGTTAAGAACAGTTTCAGGTTAAGTATGGACCTCTAGAACGAATTAAGTACTTAACCCGAGGTACCACTGTATTCTTATTCTTCTTTCCTTGGAACTGTGGTAATGCCTCTTCCTTTGTCTGGATAGAGGATAAAGAGGAGTGTGTGTGTGTGTGTGTGTGTGTGTGTGTGTGTGTAGAAAAAAAAAAAAAGAAACTAGCTTGCTGGTACAAAAGGAAGATTTTCATTGGTTGCTCCACCCCTCTTTTGCCCTCTGGCTCCACCCACCACTGGCATGTGGCCCACAGAAGATTGCCCAGATGAGTTGAAAAAGTTCTCCCACTCCTTGGGTTGAAAAAGTTTCCCCACTCCTAGTCTATGTCTCAGAGCAAGTAAAGGAATGAAGCCAGACACATACCACCAAACAAAATGCCCAGAACAACTTAATTCAGCTGGGATTTAATTTTGGGCCACATATTTAAAGTGCTAACATATTTTCATTACCCCCCCCCAAAAAAAGGAACATTCCACGCCATGGCCAACGTAGGCCTTACTAACAACAATAAATATTACCACCAACTTTGGGTGAGGAAGTGCATCACTCCCTTTTCTTTGCTCTGCAGAGGGTCTTGAGGGGGCAGGAGGAAGCCAACAGCACCATTTGTCCTGATATTCACATTTCCTCAGATGGCTCACCTGCCTCTTGCCTTAGGCAGGAAATGACATCACAGCTCCAGGCAATGGCTCCGAACTGGAAATAGGTGGTGTCAAGGAGTCAAGAGGAGGTGCCGCCATCTTGCTTTTGGTCTCATCACCAGTGGCTTCCCATTGTTTTGTTTTTAAGCTTGCAGGAAATGGCTGAGGTAGTGTGAACACCGTTTAGCTTGTGTGTCAAAGGAAGGGGGCGGTAAAGCTAAACATCAGGATGGGGGAGGTGGCACAGGGGAGAAGTGAAATCCAAAGTGAGGACTTAAAGTGCATGGGAAACAACACGGGGATCCAAAGTGCATCAAGCAATGTTAGCCTTCTTCAACCAAAGGTACAAAAATAAATGTTGGCTCAGCTAGGTTGTGACAGCCTCCATTGCACTGTTTCCCCTGGCAGATCTCCTCTAAGTTGTGAGACCCTTAATACCATAAGGGCAGAAAATATGGCTCATAAGAGCAAATGATCACTTAGGGGTGGGTGTGCCCTTTGCCCTGATGTCCTTGTGGGTCACTGGCAGAAGGGCACACATAGCTCACCCCATAAATAGGACGAGAAGATAATCCCAACCATTGACACATCTGTTTTCATAAATGCATCAATTTCCATTTTCTTCCGCACTATCCCAGGTGCTTCATGGTTTTTCTTCTTCCTTGCGACCTACTCTTCTCCAAGACTTTGTTTCCTCCACCATCCTTTCTTCAGCACCCCCTGTCACAGGACTTCATACCATCCTATTGCATGTGCGCAAAGAGGTGAGGTGGAGATGAATGTCCTTATCTATAACACTTGGAGGATGCAGGAAAATACACATGTGGTTTCACGCCCACCCACACTTCGAATATAACTATGCATATCTATATATCTGAGAGAGATACAAATGTACAGTCCCAAACTTGGGTTGTTGCTGTGTACAAAACTGAGACAGAGAGGAGAAAAAAGGGAAAGAAAATGGAAAAAACGTCAAAGGTCTGATCCTGCATTGGCTTTCATCCTTTGTTAAAAGCAAGGAGGTTACCTGAAATCATTCATCTCCACCTGCCTGAGTTGATTTGAGAGTTCCAATCAATTTTGTGCATAGCAAAACTGGGAGGCTGTTGATTCCTGAACTAAACTTAAAAGTTATAGATGCATCCCCCCCCTTCCTAATTCAAGGCTTTTCCTTTTGGTCTCAGGTTAAAGGAACGTGTTTCTTTAAATCCACTTTGCAAAACCAAACAGCATTTTCCTTCTGAAACCTCTGAATTGACTGCCCCCTGGGTTAAAAGGAAATAAACAGGTCGCAGGAGGGCTAAGGGACAGGGACCATTTCTTTCACATGGCTATTCACTGGAGTTTTCTTTGCAATGACCTTTGCCTCAAGCTTTCATGTCATGCTTTGTTACATTTCTGGAAACAAGACCCATGAATGAATGGGAAGGATGCAGACAGGGCTCTTAAAGTGGGAAGGTTCTTCGTGGAGTGCAACAGGTTGCATTTGGAAGGAAGACAAGAGTCCCAACCTTCAGGACAGGTGTTATAGCAAGGGGCTACGTGTAGCGTTAACTTGGAAGTTTAACCATAGTGCAAAATTGTGTAAATGGAAAACAGACGGTGGACATTTGAGCAAGAGGCACATTCCATCCAGCAGAGGACAGCAGTGGAAATTCACTGATGCATGGACACACCAAGCCTGCGTGGAACGGAAGCCCCAAGGGGTCAAAATTAGATGGGGTTGGGAAAGAGGAAGATGTTCCTTAACAAACAAGGCAGAGGTTACAGCACAATCCAATGCATGTCGATTCAGAAGTACATCCCGCTCTGTTCAGTGAGGTTCACTCCCTTGCAACTGTGTTTAAGACCGCAGCCTTAACCTAACAATGAAAAGTACAAATGCATTGACACTTTTCAACAAAAACAGTAAAAATAAGAAACGGTGGATAGTAGCGATGGGGAGAAACCGGCACTCACACACAGACATCACACACACACAACCCAGACACAATCCCCAATGGCTGGAGGGGGTGCAAGTGGGTGGGTTCAAAGGCCGTAGTTGATGTGTGATAGCTGGAAACACATGGAGATTATTTCTTTTGCCCCTCCTGTCTTCATTGCTTTTCTGCGGGGTTCTTTTTAAACATACTGTTCTTTGGGACAGATGTACGGAGCCCTGGAGCCGGGAGGTGGGCAGCAAAAGGAAGCCTCAGAATGGCGGGATGAGTAGGCGTCTTCTGGGAGATATGACAAGGGACTATAGACATATGGTATTCTTGCCAGGTACTGGTCTTCACGTGAGTAACGGCAGCTTAGGTAATCACCCGCATCCGGTATCTCTGTGTGACGCTTTCCAAAGTTCTGTGGGGAAAGGGTGGGAGGAAGAGCCACAGACCGTAAAATCACAAGTTTAAACAACATTGTAATCCCTTACAGAGCACACAAGCCATTGCATTACCAAGGCTTCATTCATAGCATACGTTTAAAGCGCCATGATCCTGCTTTAATCAGGCATGGTTTCCCCCAAAGAATTCTGGGAGCTGTAGTTTGTGATGAATGCTGAGAACAGTCAGGAGGCCACCACCCCACCCCCACCCCCACTCCCAAGCTACAAATCACAGAGTGGTTCCTCCTTCACATGGAGCTTTGGGAATTGTAGCTCTCTGCAGTGAAACAGGGGCTTCCTAGCAACTCCTCAGCACCCTTAAAATACTACAGTTCCCAGGATTCATTGAGGGAAGCCATGGCTGTTTAAAGTGGCATCATAGCACTTTAAATGTATGCTGTGAATGTGGCCTTATTCTGCCCAGCATAAGATGAGGGTGGTATAAAGCAGCTTTTGCCAACCCGGTGCCTTCCAGCTGTTTGGGGACTATAGTTCCCAGCAGATGGGAGTTGCAGTCTGAAACAGCTGGAGGGTACGAGGTCAGTATAAAGAGCATCCTTCTCATTGCTTTATATGTCAGGCAGTTATGCCTTATCAATTTGTTTATTTCATGTTTAAAAGAATGTAGGAACATTTCTATTTTCCACCCTTCCATTGTAGGAAGAACAACCCAAATCAACTCTGGGTAGCTCAGAGCATGCTAGAAATATCAGAATGGTTTTCTGGGTGTTAGGATGCACATTCAATGTCCTTTGGTTTTGCAGAACGCATTTAGCAGCGGTATCTTAACATCCCGAATTGAGCAGATGGCCATGCGTTGAGGGAATAATAAATACACAGAAAACAAATGAGTTTCAGTCATAAATTCGAGGGGAAAGTAGTAAATCGGTAGATGGCAGAGCAGTTTTTGAGATCATCCTATGCAGAATCCACTTCCAGATTTCCCACCCCTTCCTTTCTAAACTGCCATGATGGATAAGCAAATCTGCCAGTTTTGTGATGGACAGATCTGTCAGTTTCAGTTTTGCTTGGTTCCTTCTTTTACCTATCACAAGCTCAGTTTTCTGTAGCACCAGTTTACAAATTTTATTTTTAAGGCCCCATGAAAATTCATAAGCCCTTTTTTGTGCACATTACTCAGGATATATGTGCTTTTGCAAACCATTTCCCCTAATAGGATGCATCTTTATATGTTATTTTCACTAATATATACATTTCTATGCACACTTCCTCCAAATCTATGTATGTTTGCACACATCATTTCATTGGAAAACTGCACTGCATAATTTTGGAGAACTGAAAAGTTTGAAGGATGACTGCGTTTTGGTTTGCACACTGTTTCAGTAAGTGAAAATTAAATAAGTTTGCATTTGAACTGTGAGCTGAACTAGGGTTGCCATGTTTCAAACAGTGAAAATCAGGACAGTGCTGCCAACTCCAGTATTCCGGATACGTCCGGACATACGGCAACCCTAGCTGAACTGAATTTGTTCCAAATCCTGTTTTGCACAATAAAGCCTTAGCTTTGCTTTCAAGTGTTTTCAAGTCTATCTACCACTTAGGAGTTTCAGGATGGATGGATGGATCTAATGAAAAGAGTCTGTGTGAGACAACCTCACATATAGTCCTTGTGTTAGCTAGTCGCGACCAAAAAAACTGCAATCAAAAGGTCCAGCGCTTGTGTGGTCAAGTTGACAACCAAACCCAACATCATGTGCAGACACACAACTGAGACCCCCATATGCGCCCTATATTTGAAGCACTAGGATGCCACTTTAAACAGTCATGGCTTCCTCCTGGGGACTGCAAAGGTGCTGAGAGTTGGTAGGAGGCCCCTCACAGAACTGCAGTTTACAGCGTGGTTTAACCACCAGTCCCTCTTTCCAGGGAACTCTGGGAATTGCAGTTCTGCGAGGGAAATAGGGACTCTACTAGTAACTCTCAGCACCCCTAACAAACCACAGCTCCCAGGATTCTTTGAGGGAAGCCATGGTGGTTTAAAGTGGTATGGTACTCTTTAAATGCATAGTGTGGATGGGGCCTGAATGTTTATCACGCTTAAACCATTTCAAAGCCTTCTGTTTCCCGATTCAGTCACCATGATCCAGAGAACAAAAGAAGAAGAAAAAGAGTCCAACTCTGAAAAACAATTCTCAGGGGGGGAAAAATCAAAGAAAAATCTGCCATGTCAGTTGCTCATCCCATTTTGCTGTCTCTCTATGGCAGGTGAGTGGCACTGAACTCACTCCCTTCCAAATGAGGGCATGCTCCAAATGTAAGCTCAGAAAATGGATAATTTTTATATAGCCTCTCATTTGTATCAACCCTTCTGTTATCCACCTTTGTAAATTGCTCCCCAGACCTATCAAGTGCTTTGGAGACTAGGCTGTGAGAGAAATGTATAATTTAGCAGACAATTCCACCTTTTCTATGTACTAAGCAGAGTTTGGCTACGAAGCTGGAAAACACTTGACAGAATCCATTGAATAGACAGTGCTGCTATCTAGGGCAAGCGGGAGACAATGACGAGGCAAATCTGTATCAGCAGAACATGCTTGTTTGGCACATGCAAATGTCATGCTCACCCCTCCCCTCATTGCTATTTCGTTCCCCACAACCGAGGCAAATGAAACCAACACGAATTAGGAGAAAAGAGCAGGAGGCGTAGGAAAGGAGGAGGCAGCAGCATTCCTCTAAGTGCTATCAGCAATGGAGGTTTCCACCTTGGCTTTGGGAGCGAAGTTCAGGAGAAGGTGCACCATCCCTCACAAAACAAAAGTAAGAAGCATGCCTGCAAAGTCTTACGTTTCCGGGTTCCCGGCCTCCTTCTGCACATGGAACGTTCATAGGATTCCTAGCCTGTGTAGCTCATGCTACTGTTGCCCCATTCACACCCACCTGTCTCCAGCTAGCAGGGACACTGTGGCAGCTCTGCTTGGAAGGGGTTGCAGGAGAAGGCAAGCCTCACAGAGTTGCCACCAACAGATCCAAAATGGCGGAGAGCCAATGAGGAAGCTGGCAGTGGCGTCTCCCACCCTGTTACTTCCCTCTACTGATCTGGACCAGAGATGGGAGAACAAACACACTGCGATGGTGAAGAGGAACAGCAGGTCCAGGGGAGCTCTTGACAGCAGGCCTCTTTCTGGGATTAGGGCCCTCAACATATACCTAACTATGCCAAGCCTTGATGCTGACCCTGCAAGGTGGGTATTTATCTTTTACCAACTTTATAGTTGATGGAACTGGCAAAATGTCTCAACAAGGTTTCTGGGCATCCCTGCCTGAAACTCACAGGAAGTGTTAAGTAACTTCCTGCTGTGTGGGCGTTGCATATGGCTATGGATTTTGGGGGAGTTGGGTCTGTTTAGCCTGGAGAAGACTGAGAGCTGTGCACAATATTCTTTTGAATACAGGAGATCTGACCCAACAAAGTGATCTTTGGGGAAAAGAAATAAAAAATTAAAATAGTCCAGTAGCACCTTAGAGACCAACTAAGTTTGTTCTGGGTATAAGCTTTTGTGTGCATGCACACTTCTTCAGGTACCTGCACACAAAAGCTTATACCTAGAACAAACTTGTTGTTGTTGTTTAGTCGTGTCTGACTCTTCGTGACCCCATGGACCAGAGCATGCCAGGCTCCATGGACAAAGACAACAGAACAAACTTAGTTGGTCTCTAAGGTGCTTTTTTTATTTCGACTGTGTCAGACCAACATGGCTACCTACCTGAATCTAGAATTTGGGGAGAAGGTTGCCTCTGGGCATGGGTTGATCTTTAACAGGAAATTGCCTTTTACCAAGTTCCTTGGGGCCATTTAGCTCAATACTGTCTACACTGACTGGCAGTAGCTCTCCAGGATTTTAGGCACGGTTCTCTTCCAGTCCTGCTTAGAGATGCTGTTGGAGATTGAACCTGCAACCTTCTGCATGCAAACCTTCTCAAGCCTTGTATTGGCTTCCTATCACCTTTCTAAACACTTCCCCTTTGATCTGCATTCCACTTTCCGACTCCTTTCCTCCCTCCTTCGCTCTGACCTGCTTAGAAACCCTGTCAAGGGCTTTTGTTTGGCATCAAGGTCTTTTTGGATTGTCTTTCCTTGGGAGAAAAAGCCTGAAGGCTCAGGAAGAACACAAAACAACACCTTGCAAGCCCACTTGAGATCTGCCAACCCCACCTGCTGCCAACTTCCATGCTAAATATTTAATAATGATCGGGTTTGGGGTTTTTTTTGGAGGGCGAGAGAGGAAACCACCCTTCACACACATTGAAAACAAAATGTCACTAATGATTTATTGATGGAACTGCAAAGTCAAATGGATTCACGAGGCAGGGAGCGCATTCTGGAGAACTGCCTGTTCTTGGCCGGATGTGTGAAGGTGGATGAATGAAGTCTAGACCTTGACTGGAGCAACAGGGGTAAATTAAGCACTGGGGGGGAATTGGTGAGTGAAAAGGCAGGGTAGTGGGTGGAGAAGGAATGCCTTGTGCTCCTCTTATGGAGTCATCCCCTCCAGGAAAGCAATATGAAAAGAGTCCGTCTGTGTGCGGTGTTTTTTATTTTATTTTTAATGCAACAAGAAAAGCTGAATGCTGAAAACTGCAATTATGCAAATTGGACAACTTTGCAGAATGTCACCTTATTATCATTTATTCTGCATAATGTATTCCAATTTGATTAATCATGAGGAGGGACTAAGCAGGAGGCTGAAGACCTACCCGCTTCTGAGCACTTGCTGCCAGCTTCCAAGATTTTAGCAAACATTTTGCCACCACTACTTTCCCTGGCATTACAAGCTATTTGCAGCCAAAAGGCTTTGTTTTATTTTTGTTTTCAGTTTTTCGAGTTAACAACAATAGTCATCCTTTACATTTATACCCCCCATTTCGACTTCCCTCTTCTCCTTCCCTGGTTGCAAAATAAATTCATTTAATTACACTGCACCTCCCCCTTAACATCTTTTTTTTTTAAAAAAAG